GGCAGCCAAAAGACAGCAACCAAAACCGCCGCACGGAAGTGCATGGTTAATGGTTGTTCAAACTGAACAGAACTGAACTGTATGTCAGGATTAGGGCCCCGAAGTCGACAGAACTGAGGTGATTTAAATCTCAGTATTTTCAGCCGTTCGAAGTTTTTCTTGTTATACGGACCTGTTACCGTTTTTGTCGCCAACCTTTGCGGACGTTCTAGAGCCTTCAGTCGTGGATTCCTTGCTTCAAGGATATTCCGTGTGTATCCGAATGAAAGCTCATAGCAAGCATGGGAAAAAACTATTTCAAACTGCCTGAAAGCACACTTGAGTAGCCCAACTTGCTTGAGAGCCATGAATGATGCTCTGGCGCAACGAGAGGAACATCCTATGTCATTGTGTACCATAACTCCCAAATGCCTTTCATCAGTGGCATGCGGTAGTATGTGGTTCCACAGAACGTCGAAGAAACTAGTCTTATGCCACCTGAAATTAACCTTGCATTTTGAAAAGTTGAATGCAGTGTCATTGATTGATCATCGATGGGCTGTACTGAGCGTTTCATGGAGTGCAAAATGATCATCTGGATGTGTTACTGCTCTCTAGATTTTCGTGTATCTGTATATTTGGCTCAAGGACGTTTATAAATGTAAGAAAAAGACGAGACCCTCCCTGCATGGATCCTTGCGGAACCCTTTGGACAACGGCGGTGGGTCCAGATAATGAATCACCAACGCGAACTAACATGTTTCTTCGTCAGAGAAACTCTGATGCATTCCAGAGACAAACCTCTTACTCCTTAATTGTAGAGTTTTCGCTGTAGAATTTGATGGTTTACTCGATCAAATGAGAGGCCTGAATAAACTTTGTCCAATGGCTCGCCTGTATCGACGGATTTTATCCACTCATCTCATGAAAGAAGTAGATTTGTGGTGCACGGACGTGCTCAGCTGTAGACAGAATCCTATGCGCCTCCAGATATTCCATCAACAGATCTGCCACACTAGTCTTCATGACTTTCGACAGCAGCGGAAAATGTACAGCACGGCGGTAGTTGGCGGGATCTCTGCTTCTTTGTAAATGGATGAAATCACTCCTTTGTTCCATGACTGCAGAACTACCGTCCTGTTGAAAATCCTTTGGTAAAGAACAGCCAGAGGTCACCGGCTCGATTGGGTATCGAGGTGTATTGTGCACCTTGGACGTTTGGCCCCGTCCAAAGGGCGTATGATCCAGTGAAC